GGAAGTAGAGTCTCTGATGAGCTTTCTTGATCAGGCTGGTGGTGTTGTTGCTCCAGCTGAGGTTGTCATTCATGTGTACACCCAAGTACTTGTAGCTGGAGACCACTTCCACCGCAGATCCTCTTATGTTCAGGGGGGTGTAGGTGTTTTTGTTCCTTCTGAAGTCCACAATCATCTCCTTTGTCTTCTTCACATTGATGTGAAGGTTATTCTCTCTGCACCAGCTCTCCAGGTGTTCCACCTCTTGCCTGTAGCTGGACTCATCATTGTTTGTGATGCATCCCACCACCGCTGTATCATCTGCAAACTTTACAATGTGACAGCCTGGATGGGTAGCTGCACAATCATACGTGAGCAGAGTAAACAGAAGGGGGATCAACACACATCCCTGAGGAGAGCCAGTGCTGAGGGTTATGGTGGAGGAGGAGAGGTTGTGGATCCTCACTAACTGTGGTCTGTTTGTTAAAAAGTCTAGTACCCAGTTGCAGATGGAGGGGCTTAGTCCTAGTGTGGATAGTTTGTCCATCAGGGTTTGGGGGATCATGGTGTTGAAGGCGGATGTGAAGTCCACAAAGAGCATACGGACGTAAGAGTTTTTCTGCTCCAGGTGGTTGAGCGCAGTGTGGACCACAGAGGAGATTGCATCCTCTGTTGATCGGTTCTCACGGTATGCATACTGATGAGGGTCCTCGTTGATGTTGATGGTTGTTTTGATGCGAGTCATGACCAGTTTTTCAAAGCATTTAGCGACTATCGGGGTGAGGGCCACTGGCCGATAGTCATTCAGACCAGTCACTGTAGAGCTTTTTGGGACTGGGATGATGGTGGCAGTCTTCAGGCAGGTGGGAACTGTCTCCAGGGTAAGTGAGGTGTTAAAGATGTCTGCCAGCACCTCACAGAGCTGATCAGCACATTCCTTCAACACTTTTCCGGGGATGTTGTCTGGGCCAGTTGCTTTGTGCGGATTAATCCTCCTGAAGGTACTCCTTACTTCTGCTGAGGTCACGCTGAGATGCTCTTCATCCGGTGGTGAGGTGAGTCTGGTGCTGGGTGGTCTGTTTGGGTCTTCAAAGCGTGCATAGAACTTGTTGAGGGCATCAGGCAGAGATGGGTCTTTGGGGCATTGTTCACTCCTTCCTTTATAATCTGTTATGCACTTAATGCCCCTCCACATGCTCCGAGGGTCTTGTGAGATGAATTGACCCTCGATCCTCTTTGCATATGTGGCCTTGGCCCTCTTAATACCAGCAACCAGCTCTTTTCTTGTCCTACTCAGCTCCTTTGAGTTTCCAGACCTGAAGGCAGTGTTCCTGGCTTCCAGCAGGGTACGCACCTCTGCATTCAGCCAAGGTTTTCTGTTTGGGTAGCTTTTAACATTTCTGATAGTGGAGACTGTGTCAGTACATGAACTAATGTAACCCAGTACTGAGGATGTGTATTGGTCAAGATCAAGCCAACCTCCATTTTCAGCAGCTTCTCTGAAAACCTGCCAGTCTGTTCGGTCAAAACAATCTCTCAGTATGGGGCCACTGTCCTGGCTCCAACATTTAACTTTCTTTTGTACCGGTCTGGAGCGTCTCAGTGGGGGCATGTAAGCAGGAGCCAGGAAGATTGAGATGTGGTCTGACAGTCCTAGGTGGGGGCGGGGTTCGGCTTTGTATGCATCTTTTACGTTCGTGTAAACACGGTCCAGCGTGCGGTCTCCACGTGTCGGAATCGTCACATGCTGATTAAAGCTTGGGAGACAGTCCTTTAGATTCACGTGGTTAAAGTCTCCGGCTACAACGTAAAGAGCCTCGGGGTGTTTGTTCTGCAGCGAGCTGATGATATCATGAAGCTCCTGTAGTGTTTCATTAGCATTAGCGTCCGGAGGAATGTAAACAACTGTGATAAAAGTCACTGTGAACTCTCGGGGTAGATAATGTGGCCGACATTTCACTGTTATTTGCTCCAAAGCCTTCGAGCATGAGCTATTTACAACAGTACAGTTCGTGGACCAACTTTTACTCACGTAAATGCACACTCCGCCCCCCCGTGATTTCCCCGTTAGCTCGCTGCAGCGGTCCGCTCGAAAAAAAAGTCTGTCATCCAGCTGGAAGACTGAGTCCGGCGTTTCACTTGTAATCCACGTTTCCGTGAGGCAAAGCACCGCACACTTCTTCATCTCTTCTGAGGCGCCCGCTCTCAGACGAAGTAAATCCACCTTGTTATCCAACGAGCGGACATTCGACAGAAAGAGAGACGGCATGGGGAGTTTACCGGCTTTAGCGTTAACTCGTA